TGTTCCATCTTGAGGAATGTTAAGGGAAATTACTTGGGAGCAGATTGCCAGCACTGACTGAGATCCTGCCCTTTGGGAAGGGCTGTGACTGAAGGGAATGGATGTGGATTGTGGAAGGGAAGCCAGTATACTGAATTCATACTGAAAGGCTTTTCTCTAAGGGGTGTGAAAAAGCAAGATCAGGTATGAGTGTAGTTTGTAGGTACAATTATATGCAGTAATGTAGTATTAATGGTGTGTTAGAATGAATAAAGTGGTCAGGTATAAAATGTACCTGTGATGTTCTGAAAACTATATTTTTTTCTGTTAGCGGAGGACAGATGTAAGTAACTTAGGCAGTTCCTACTCAGGATTGCTTTTTAAGCATCTTGGAACATGTTTTACTCATTCCGTTAAGCAAACCTGTGAATACCGAGAGCCTTTTTCCCTCCAGAATTATTTGATTTATCACTCCTCATCTCTCTTTTTCCCCTACCGTCTTGCTCTTTTTATTATTATTTTTTTATTTTATTTTTTAGAATTAAATACACTTATTACCACTGATCGGGTAAGGAAAGTGGAGGAAAAAGGATTGGCAATTCATGGCTTCATTTGTTCTCATCTTCAAGAGGCATCAGGATTAATCATGTCCTGCACTGAACAAAGGGTGTACAGATAGAAAAGTTTAGCCTAAAGGGCATACTGTGGACCTTCAGCGCTGGAAGTAATAGTTAGGTTGAGCAGGAATTCTGTTTTTTTTTTTTTTTTTTAATAAAATAAAGAGGTGCTATTATGGAAGGTTATTGTACTATATAGTTTTGTTTTTAGTAATATCATGTTATCACATGAATAGATTGGTGGATATGGATACAAGAGCAACAAAGTTTAACCTGTTAATTCTTTGGACTAAATTACTATATATTTTGCTCGAAAAGATGTTTTATTGCAATAGTAACGTTTCACTTATTGATACGTATCGAGAATCTTGCTGACAAGAATGTGGACAGTAGCAATCCACTCTGCTAATTTTTAAGTTGCTGCACTAAATAGAAAAACAGACTAAGTTCTGCAGATGCTTTTTAATGCTTATCCTGAAGAAAAACATTGTGACTATGCTGATGAACCCCATAGTGCTGAGAGGATTAATAAATGCACCCATGAGAGAGTTCACTGAAATGCAGAAGATAGAAGGACAGGATAATATCAAACACATTTTATATACACCTGAAGCTTCTTTAGCTTTTTTGTACACTAAATGTTCTATGTGTGCTTCACCTATGGCAGATGTTCATTTAAACACAACCCTTTTTGTTGCTATGTTATTTATAATAGGAACTCTTAATTTCGATTCTGTTGGCTGCTGTATTGCTCTTGTAATCAACGTACTAGATTCAACTGAAGAACCTAAAGTGATTGCAATTTTTCCATATTAATCCAGCACGTTTTTTACTTAAACAAAATATCACAAGGAACTTTCTCATTTACTTAAACTGTCTCTAAAGCCACCTTGGCAATGTCATAAAGTCAATAAAAGGTAAAGAACACTTGATGTTTATTAAATCAGATCTTTGTTCCATTGCAAATCAGTAACTGAGCAAAATCTGCTTAATTGCAATAGGTAGCTTATCTGTCTAAGCTACAGAATTGCAGGTACTATATATTGCACATTCCGACGATAAACTGATCTTTTTCAGTAGAGTCATTAGATAATTATTTAGTCTAATTAGAGAGCTTAGTGTGACAGAAGGAAATCAAACCTTCAGTCCACCTTCAGTTGTTGATCCTACTTTGATAATGTAAGAATAAATCTTGTAACGTTTTCTAAGGTATTTAAATGACTTAATCCTTTATTTGTAGAACGTTTGCTTTTAAAAGCTTTTTCAAATGTTAGAGACTCTCCTTTTCCAAGTTATGTTTTAGTAAGGTAGAGCTTAATGTAGCTTGCTTTGAAAACTGTATTGACAAGTTAGTGAAAAATTCTCTAAATTCCCTTTTAGTCCCTGGGAGGTTGCCATAAAATACTTGATTGCATGGTAACATGCTACATGCATTTGTCAATTGTTTTTATTTTTCAAGGGTGCATATTTTTCTGGGAAAACAGAATCAGCTGAAAATTCACTAGGTGAGAAAATAGTTCCGTTGCTGCAGTGGCTAAGTTTACAGTATTACATGAGAGTCTATGGGTGGTAGTGAACTGTACTTAAAACTAGGTTTGACAAGTTCATAATATTCTGTTAAGTCCTCTGTATGGCGTTATTTCTAGTGTGTTGTCTTTGTTCATGCCAAAACACACAAAACAGTTGATTTTGCCTCAAGTGAAGAGGTTTGGCTTTTGCCCCAGTGTATTGATGTGACTAGACAGAATGAAAAATTTTCTTCCTGTTTCTTCTACGTCTTTTACTTTGGCTTCCTGGGTGTATACCTCAGAAAACATATATGGCTGTGGCAATTCAAGAGCTGTGTAGGTCCCAAATGGGCAGCCAGTGTACGCAGGCAGTGAGCTGATCTCTCAGCTGTCTTAGTGTTCTTTGTAAGAATTGCAGGTACCATAGTCTCTTGTGAGAAATGAATGTTATAGGAAATTAGTATTTCTGACAAACCGGGTTGGAACTAGCTAAAACTACTTGGAAGTTTATGTTTTTGAAGCATATGGGAAACAAATGCCAACCAGCTTGGTCGTAAGCCTCGGGTCTGCGGAAAACTGTGTTAACAATGTGACTCATGGTTCAACTAAGTTTTTTGGTATATCTAAGTGGAGTCAGTCTATTATTCGATCCATTTGACTATAGCAGGCATAATAATATGCTTGTGTGTCTTTTGCCTTTTTTTTTTTTTTTCTCTCCTTAATGCCCTTCTAGCTGTGTGAGAAATGCTCTTCAGCTTTTCCTAAATCTCTAAAGCTGCTTTTTGCATCCACTATTGTATATGCCATGTTTTGTGTCTGGGGATGCTTTATAGGTTTCTGTTTTATAATAGTTTTGTTTACTTGGAGAATTTGGCATTCCTGTATATTTTAAGAAGACATGGCCAGTGGCTTCACAGGCATGAATGCAGTTTCCAGTAAAGGAAGCGGCTTGAAAGGACCTAGTATGAATCTTGTCAGCTTTTAGAAGCATGTTTTGAGAAAATTTCCCCAAAGTGGTGAAAATTGTAAAGCTAGACAGGCTATTTTCCCTTGTCTAAGAACAAATTATAGTAGGCATCTATTTTAAAAATCAAAACTGCATTTCTAGGAAAATACCATGTCTTTCCCTCCAGCCTCATTTTTCTTGCATTTTTTAAAGCTCACAAAAGGACTTTTTTCTGTCTTTCAAGTTTTAGTCAAGCACTACATTGATTTAATTGTAGGCAAACTCAAATGAAAGCTATAGCATGAACTGCCTCATTGCTCTCTGTGGAATTTTGAAAATGTATATAATCCTTTTCCATGAACCTCTGAAAATGAGATAGCTTCTTCAGCAAAGTGATAAATGCCTTTCATTTCATTTTCTTCCCAGCCTAATTCCCAGCATTTAACCTTGCCTAATCCTTTTCTGGATATTTTTTCTTCTGGAATTAATTCAACCACACCAGGCTTTGCTACCCAGTTATGTGCACCAAAGTTGTTCCTTGCCTGCCTCACCCCCTTCTTTCTAATCTACCACTGTTTGAAATTTGCAGTTTTCCGCTGGATTTAGATGAGGAACAACAGTATCCAGGGCCGTTTGCAGCATGTTGAGAGTTGTAGTAGTTGGTGAAAGATTCTGGGGTCCATCCCTGGCTGTCGAAGAAGCATACATTGCCTTGTTTTCAAGATCAAGCATTTGTGATGCATAAAATACACCAAATCCATCAGGCGGAAACTTAGGGTTAATTGTCTTAATCTTCTAATTAAGAATTCTCATTTGTTATAAGTGATGCTGTAAATCTCCACTAGATCGCCACTGCTTTATGTGTAGTATCCAGAAGTAGCCAAAGCTGCTAAGCTTCACTGTAACTGAAATGGCTTTGACTTAAAATGTCATGAGATCACAAACTGGGTTCTGCTACTGCTAGCTAGGTCAAAATAATTTTCTTTCCAATGATAATCAGCTGTAAAGTTCATAAAATGGCTGCATTTGAGAAGTATTTGAGGGAAAAAAAGCAATGCTTCTGAGTGAAATTTGGGATGCACTGGGTTTTAATACTTCCAGGTGAAGCTTAGCTATTTGTTTTGACCTACCAGATGTTAGTCTTCATTTAAGAAAAAGTTTATAATATGTAAATTAATGTCATGGCATGAGCAGCTTGAGCAGTTGCAGATTTGCAGATTGTCAGAAAATACTGCAATTGGGAATATACATAGCTTTGGCAATGAAGTTCTGCCATGTAGAAATTTTTTTCTTCTTTATTATGCAGTGGTCAGGGCTTCTTGTCCTTAACTTCTGTTACAAATTTTGGTCTACTTAAATTTTAACTTTCATTTGTGGATGAAAATCTGATAGAGTAGGTGGATTTTTTTATTTCCTTGTTTCATGGGTAGCCAAAAAATGAAAAACCTTTTCCAGTGAATTTCTTTTTTGAGGGGGGGAAAAATGAATTTTATTCCAAGTGGAAAATGTGGAAGTTGGGGAAAGTGAGTATTAAGAGGCTAACTCAGTTGGCTATTAGGAATTGAATTGTTTCAACATTTGAGTGCTAAACAGTCTGTTTAAAAAACTTTGAGCATACCCTTTTTAAAGTGACTTTTAGTTTCTAAGGTTGTTCAGACAAACCGATTTGCCTGCATTTATGAAGTCTGACATTTTGAGCCTTCTTTTGCTAAGTAGAACTATCCTGTTCTGAAGAACTACTGAAGAATTTTGTGGTGGTGGTGGTTCTTAATGTGGCAAAAATAATCTCTTATCTTCTAAGTAGTATTGTCACATAGTACAGGCTTTTACAGTATGCATGTTAATGCATCTTTCATTGCATTATCTGAAGATTATTTTTCTGTATTTATCTGGATGACTTCCCTTAAAATGTTGTTTTGAAATGTCTCTTCTTTTTCTTCTTCCCTTCAGATTTGAGTTCTGTGAGCCTGCCTTTGTGGTTGGTAATTGTTTGGAAATAGCCTCAGACAGTCATCAGTATGACCGGATTTACTGTGGAGCTGGAGTCCAGAAAGACCATGAAAACTACATGAAAATTTTATTGAAAGTTGGAGGCATTTTAGTAATGCCTATAGAAGATCAGGTGACTTAGTGACAATTTCCCCTTCCTATCTTTCAGTGTATTTATATAACTTAGTCAAATATACATTGAAAAGCATTCCTAAGTTAATGTTTTACTAATGACATCTTGGTTCAGTGTATTGCTGCAGCTGTGTCAATATTAGCTTTTTTTAAATGAAGTTCTGTACTTGTGTAAAAGCGTAAATATTCTCAGTCCATTGAATTCTGTGGCAAAACAAGTATTTCGTATTTGTACCAAGACTGTTTTTAAATCCTTTCCCCAAAACACATTTTTACTGTTAGTACTTCAAAACAAAAATACTTCTAAAGAAAAAATTGGTATTGGGGAAATCGCTGAGCTTAGTGGGAAACGGTACAGAAAGGAAAAAAAGACTGGCTTTCAGCAGCTTCCAGTATTGCTCTTGTATATCAGGTTAAACGTTTTCCTGACAGGAGTATTATTCTAATAATAGCTCACACTTCTATCACTTTTCATGCATAGAACTCAAAAGGCTTTACCAAGGTAAGTATTATTCTCCCTGTTTCCCTAATAGGGCAATTGAGAAGAAAAGGCTATGTTACTGAAGCTGGTGTCTTTTTAGAATCCAAATACTTTCCAGAATATTTTGATTAAAATATTCATTATTTTAATAAAATAATGACATTTATATCTACTTTCTCAAAATAGGAATTATCTTTTAGATATAATCTGCATCATTCAATTACATTCAGTTACTTAAATATTTTTAAGTATTTATTGAACTGAGATATTGCCATTTGAAATTGATGGAATTCAACTTAAAAGTAGCAAATATTTGAAAGCAAAATTAACAGTATTTCTGCCATGTCTGCACATGTTTGGGGTGCTGGAATATGTGAAGTTAGGAGAGATTGAGACAGTTGTTTCTTTAGCATGGAAAGCAACAGGTTAAGGGAAGATCTAGTTACCGACTTTACTATCTAACGGAATGGGCAGATTACTGAGTAGACAGGAGTCAAATTCTCCTTGCAGATGCACAGCGAAAGGAAAAGGTTGCAAATGGCAGCAAGGGACATTCTGCCTGGTGATAGGGAACAAATTTTCGTGGGGAGTGGCTGAATGTTAGAGCAGGTTGCCCAGAGGCTGTGAAATCTGTGCATGGCAGTTTTCAAAACTTAATTGGACAAAGTCTGAGTCATGTAATTTAACTTCAGACTTAGCTTTCCTCAAATGAGAGTCTGGACAACAGGGCTTGGTTAAGTAAATTTTGAAGCATATTGAAATAGTTACATATTTAAACACTAATGTGAATATCGAATGTAAAACTTTTATCACACTTTTCTGTTTTTTTTTTTCTTTTTCTTTTTTTTTTTTTTTTCTTTTCAGCTTACACAAATCTTGAGAACAGGACAGAACACGTGGGAAAGTAAAAATATCCTTGCTGTTTCATTTGCTCCGCTAGTGCAACCCAACAGAAATGACAATGGCAAACATGACACTGTGGGACTGCGTAAGTGTCACTTGCGGTATCCCCAACAGGTTCTTACAGTGTCTGCTGGTGCCCCTCTGGAAGCAGAGGGGATACAGAATGCAGGCATGAAACATGATAGAACAAGAATATACAGCTTAGAAACGCAGCAGATGACTGATAGATAATGTACTTCAGGCTCATGTACAATTAATGTACTAAATTAAGGCCTTGTTTCCAGCTTCTCTTTCCAGTTTTTCTTTCCCTTGAGATTCAGCTTCTTGCTTTCTAATAAGGCACAGGAAATTTCTTCAGCTAATATGAGGTATGCCAAGAGTGCTCACTTTCTGGCTGTCTCCTAGAGAAAAATATTTTTCTTTCTCCCTGAGATGTGAGGAGCTGCTCCAATCTGTAGCTGTAGCATGTTAACAGCTGAGTGTGCTTATCTGGGTGCAAGTGATACAGTCATGCTGAGCTCTTTCGAGGTTTGCTCTGTAGCTGCAGTAGCCTGAGTTGGGTTAGTGAGGGATAGAATGTCTCTGAAAATATCTCGGTTGCCAAGATCATAAAGTAGCCTCTTAAAGACAAAAGCAAGGAGTAGAGATGAGATGGTCTGCCTGGACAGGTAGGGTTAGGAATAGAATACTCTCTGTGGCTTTGGTGACCTCTAAACTAGAAAGTAGTAGTTTTTCTTATGTCCCGCCTTAGCATGCAACTCGGTGGGAACAAATACCCGCCCTCTTCATGGTTTTACTCTCTCTGTATGCACTTCTAAAGTGCAAAATGGATACAAACCTGGTCATACCAGGTTGCATAGCATGCAACTGGCTTTTGGTGCATGTATATAACCTCACAAAAGAATGGTGCTTTATTGTAGTTTCACTTGCATTTTTGTTTAAAATATAGATTATCTTTTTATTTATATAATCAATTATTTGCAGAAATAATTCGTTTTGTAACTTTAATGCTTACTTTTTTGAAATCTCAAAAGCTATTTTCTTGAAACTGACTTTTTAAATTCCTTAGTTCTTTGTAGACCTATTCCATACTACACAGGATATATTATGGCTAATGATGACTTACCAACGGTGTCGGTGCTTACTGTGATTCTGTACAGTGTAATTCTGTAGAAGACAGAGGAAGTTTTTACAAGTGTCTCTTACCAGTCCTGAACCTTCATAGTATGTATGAAGCCAGTGCAGGCCAATAATATTCAGTACTAAATTTTAGTACAATGAACCCTTGTCCTGTATGCAATGCAACAAGATATTTTAAAACAAATCCTTTAGAAAGAAGGGGAAGAATACCACACAAGTAGTGCAAAGATACTGCTATTGAAAATCTTACTGCTCTTAAAAATCTTCAAGTAATTGTACTGTAAAATGAAATTTGCTCAGGTTGGCTTAGCTTTTCTGTGAATTAGTGACCCTGAAGCTCAAAAAATTAATTGTAGACTGTTTCTCTCTTACAATACAATCCATGACTCTGAAGCATCTCAAATGTCCAAACTAGTCTAATAAATGTTGCCCTCCTATAAACATTAAGCCAGGAATTGCAGTTTGTCATTGTTTATGTGAGCATGAAGTCTGTACCTTTCAATGGACTATTAAAAACTGATAGAATGCCTTCTGGCATACATGTAATGTATATTTACAGTAGTTGTATTACATATATTTTTAGGCTCTCTATGCATGTCAGGCAGTCATTCTCAATGTAGACTCTTTTTTCTTATGGAACCCTGTAGAGGTGTTGCCAAAGGATCATTGTACAAGCTTGATTATTGGTCAGGACACAGTTCACTGACAGACAAAGAGGAAAATGCTTATTAAAAATCCCCAAATTGCATGTTCCTTTTTAGAGTACTTAACTAAAACATTGTTTCTTTCAGTAAAAGATAATGTTATACCATCCCAAGCTTTACTTTATTGAGGTGGAGAAGGAGGAGCAGTGCTTTCTTGGTTCGAATCACTTTGCATCTGTTAGTTACAAAATAGCCACTGTTCTTCAGTATTTCTTCCTATTGATTAGGACAAGTGTCCAGAACTCAAATTCTCACCTTTTCTGGTGAGAAGAGGTACTATCTGTAATATTGCTAATATTAGTTGCGGATTTATTAATAAATGATTAAGTACCAAATACTTATTAAATATACACGTATATTGTCTGAAGACAATATATACATGGATAGTAAGTCTGAAGACTTAAAAGCTGATTTTTCATGCTACCTGTTTGTGTGCCTGACATCCTGCACAGAAATACAGACGCTTAAAGTCTTGACTTATGCAGTATTAATTGGCATTAATTTTAGTTTTTGATTCAGGGTGTAGCTATAATCATACTGCTGTGCAACTTACCTTGATTTCATTCATATCTGAAGAACTGGTGATCGATAATTTCCAACTATTCGGTCTTTGAGGACATTCTTTTGCCTTGAAACCTTTTAAAAAAGTAGGATATTTGATTGATTAATCAATCATTCCATCTTTTGAAGCAAATAGTGTTTCTCTATATGGAGTGAATGCCAGATCATTTAACCTCTAAACATCTTATAGTTTGTGCTTGCATATACATTGGTTGCTAGAGAATCTGTGATTTTGGCCTGTTTAGCATGATTTTACGGAATAGTAAAAATAGAGTTTTTTCATAGTTTTTGGGTTGTTTATAAACAAGTGGAGTTTAGATTTTTTTTCAGTTAGTGTTAGCTGAAATCAGTTTTGCTAGAACTGGGATCTGTCAGTCATAAATATCCTTTGTCTTAAGCTAGTATACAACTGAAGTCGGTGTATGAAGCAAAAGGTTTAGTTAGAGTCTAGTAGTTTTAAAGCTTAATGAAATATTGGAGGTGCATTTATCAAATTTAATGAGGAAATAAAACTCAGACAACTGCCGAAGATAAATTGTGTTGCTTTGTGTAGGAAAGAAAACAGGAATCAAGAGTTGAATAGATTGCTGGGTTGTCGCTTTTTCTCTTATCTAGTGCAAGTCGTGCACCAGCACAATGACACTGAAAATTTTCACCTGTCTTTCTGTCATTAGAAAATATGTGGCTTTTTTGCTTGTTGCTACTCTCTTTTGCTCAGGACCTTAGCAGTTGTTCTTCACTTTCTGCTGCGAAGTTATGAATGGCTTTACCTGCTGGGATAGCTGCCAGGTTGGCATGGCCCTCCCTTAGCAGTTGGGGCCAGCAGGAGAGGCACCTGTGCGAACCAGGGTGGTGTGGGGAGCAAATTCTTTCCCAGCTGCCAAGTCTTAGAACAGTACCAGGAGCAGGTCTCAAGACTTTCCAGATTTTGAAGGGTGCTACTTGGGATATGCTTGCTTAAATACTAAAACATTTTTTCTATGTTTTCAACTTTTATTTCTTTAATCTGTCAAAAGACACAATTTCTGAGACTCTTATTTTCTATAAAAGATTAATGATATTCCAGAAGTCATCTTCAGCTCAAATTTGAATTCTTCAAGTATGTCTGCTAATAAGTCTTTTAAAAAGAGAAATCCTTTGGTAGTAAATATTCTGCAAGGTTTTTCGGGAGCTCTCTATCTCCTCTTGGTTTAGTTTTTGTATGTACTCTGTGCTGGAATTTCAATCACTCTTAAACATTAGCCCTAATGTTTGCAATTTTTTGTTAGAGGGAAATTCCACTTCGGTAAGTAAATATAATTTGCTCTCTCTTTCATTTTAGCTCCATGCGCTGTTAGAAATCTCCAGGACCTAGCTAGGATCTATATCAGACGCACCCTTAGAAACTTCATAAATGAGGAAATGAAAACCAAGGGTATTACTCAGAAGGCTCCTCCAAAACGAAAGCGCAGGAGATGTCGTAGACGGAGGATTAACACCTATGTATTTGTTGGTAATCAGCTCATTCCTCAGCCTCTAGATAGCGAAGAAGATGAAAAGATGGAAGATGATAACAAAGAGGAAGAAGATAAAGATCACAGTGAGGCCTTGAAGCCAGAAGAGCCTCCTCGAAATCTGCTGAGAGAGAAAATTATGAGTCTACCATTACCCGAATCTTTAAAAGCATACTTGACCTATTACAGAGAGAAATAACTTGTTTTAAGTAGAAATAATGCCTACTGATAATTCCTTTATTCTTGAAAATGTAGCATTTATTAGGAAATAGATGGACAAATTGTTATTAGTCTTTCATCAAGACTGAAGTACAGTGATAAATTGTAACTTATCTCTATCTTGTCTTTGCTACAAGGTAGACTTGCATTCAGTAGTAGAATCCCTTTTTAAAAATCTATTTTTCTTTAAATTTTGAAAACGCTGTTTTAACTCTGATAGAAATATATATTCCATTATTCAGCACTAATCAATATTTTGCATGGTAAGTCTTTTTGATCCAGGAGAGATTTGTATTGATAAAAGGGTGAGTGAAATTTTATATATGCTAAATAATTGTAAAACCCGCGCATCTGACTTGAGCAATTTGTCTGTATTTATTCTTAGGGGAACACTTTAAACATGCAGACGCTTATCTTCAGATGTCAGAATCAAACCCTTTTCAAAGTTTATTTTACTATGGCTTTGTTGCAATCATTATTACTATGTTGGTATAGGTGTATTCCGACGACACAAGTGCAATAATTGTGTACAGACACTGAATGAGCTGGCTTTAACGAAAATGAAAATACAAGTGTTGATATGTCAGATGGTCCCGCTACTTCTGCATTTACCTTTTGCCAAAAGATTTCGAGGAAAAGTAACAGCTTCTTTCAGAGCCTTAAGAAACATCATATTGAGTATAAAATAATGTTTACTTCAGCTCTGCTTATTTAGCTCCATTGTACACTTCCAGTATTTCTAATTAGAGACACTTCCTCATTTCCAGGAAGCTTAGGATAGTACATCTTATTTGTTTCTAAAGCTCACAGCATTGAGACACAACATTTGGTAATAAAGATTGTAATTTAGATTTCAATCATCTATTTACCGCTTTTAGGTAGAGGTAGAATTTATGTAGCATTTACTTTGTATTGCGTATTGGGATAGCTATAACAGTAGAAGTTAGGATTATTTCAGCAAATGCACTTTAGGAAGCAGATTTTATACTTACCGTGCATCTCCAAGACTATAGACTTGTGCTAACCTGTATTTTTTGTTTTATTTCTGAACATGGCTCTTAGCACAAAAAGTATGTATAAAATCATATGCATCTTTTGGAAACCGAAGAGTAGCGGTGCAACACTGGGGGCTCGCAAGAGTGCTGATTTAAGTACTTTTATCATTTTCCTCTATTTGGTGAAGTTACTTGCAGTTCTTTTTAGCTTTGTTTTGCTTTTTACTATATTCTGTTTCTTTGTTCTCTGTTGTAACAACCACGAGGGAAATCTTTAAGATATGCATTGGATGCCATGATCATTAACAACATCTCCCTGTTGGACCCAGTGGAGAACATCTCATTTGAAAAAATATCCTGCACAATACATTTATAATACTAATATTTTTCTAGTGTAGTAATAAAGCAGTATCAAACAGTAATAAAACAATAAATCATTTTTCTTCATCCATCAAGTTTCCCAGTCCAGATACTTACAAGCAGGCAATGTACATTTGGTCTAACAGTTCAGTAGTCATTTAAATATGTTCATTTTCTTACATTTGAGAAGGAAAATAGTACATAATCCCATTTATACTAATTATACATAATATCACCATGTGCATAGATACTGACTCTTCAGTGTGCATTTCATGCTGTAGTCAGTTTTGTTTAATGTTTAAATGGAACTTCATGAAGGCCTGTGGTACCAGCATGTGGAGTTACTTTCCGCAATATATTTACAGTGTAAGTAAACAAAACTATTTGAAGTATTCTGACTTTATTTTGCAAACAGGAAAAAGTAATAAACTTTTCCAAAATAATGGTACTAATAAAGTAATTGTGATGCTTCAAGTGTAAGAACTGAACTTTTTTAATGGATTATTTTAGATGGAGTTTAAATGAACTGAAGTTTGAAATGTTTTGTGTGTCTCCTTTCTTGGAATTTACATCCATAAGTTCAAGAATGAGATTACTAAATATTACTTGTATACTTTAAAGACTTTATACAGGATGCTTTTGGAGAATTAACTTTCTGAATTTTCTGATTCCTGTGTACTTGGAAAAAAGGACAACAGATGACTGGTCATGATTATTCAGTATGTATTTTTTGCGTCACTGAAAGAATGTGTCTTGTTTTATATGTGAATTTATTTTACACTCTTGAATTTATATTTACATAAAGAAAAGTTAGAAACGCAGGTAGAAATGAATTAAAACTTAATTTTTGCCATCTCAGTTGACGATGGGGACGTTGTTGCAATAAAATGGATTTTTGGTGGTTTCTGCTTGTTTTAATTTCTATTTCCATATTAGTATTTTCTCTCACTTGGAATTTCAGTTTTCAGTTTGTTTATAGTTGGTTCAATAGCGTCTTAATAAATGCTATTATTGAATTTTGGAAATAAAGACAAACAGTAATATAACTTCTTTCTCAATTTTGAATTTGTGCAAAAGCCTGAAAAGATTAAGTATTAGTCATGACTCAGGGAAGCTACTTAGAGCCCAGATCTACTCTTCAAATACTAATGTGAAGTTTTAGTTTCTTTTCCAGAGCCTTTTTAAAAGTTTTTTTTTTTTTTTTTTTTTTTTTTTAAGATCTTTAAGCTACATTCAAGAAAAGGCTCACTTATTTTTTTTTTCCTAAATACTGTTTTAGAGGTACTTTTTTTTAACCCTGAAGAGACATAATCTGTGTTAAATAAGATTTTGATGCAAGAATAGCAAAGGTGGACAAATAAGTCACTTCATATGAAACTCCCTCTTAATGAGGGCATACTTTATTAGCAGTTAGGGATAGAAGAAAAATAAAATGCAGATAAGCTAAGCTGACTGCAATTCCGTAATGGTACTCAATATAAGCAAGAAGGTGATGAACTGGATTTTTTTAAATTATTATTTATTTTCATTTTTATTCTCTTTGCCAGAGAATGACTGCAGTCTTTTAGAAAACCTGGAGCTTTTTAAACACACAATGTCCAGGATAAACTCCAATAACCAGCTATCCCCAAAGACTGGGAAATAGAAATCACTGGGAATCAAGTGTGTTGAACATCTTGGTTCAGCTGAGAATTGGCTCTGTGGTATAAGTGTTAACTCCTTAGCCTGTATGCTCTTAATAGAGCGGGGGGGACGGGGGAGGAAGCATATATTTATGCAGCTGTAACTTTAAACATACTTTTTAAATACATCTGTCACTTTGAAAAGAAACAGCATGGAATTTAATGAAATATTTTCAAAAGCTGCACTAATGTGCAGTCTTCTCAGAGGTCTTCACTTTAATGAGCTAGTATGTATTTTTGGCAATGGCTTTCTCACATGTGAGGCCCTTTAAACTTGTTTTGAAAAGGCCACTGAACCTATTAGTTCAGTAAATCTTAAAGTCCATTTATTCCTTCATCTCCTTTCAGCAGAATTAATGTGTGGGGGCCGTTTGTTTGTAGGTAAGGAGATTTCTGTCTCCGTGTTAGTCCACTGCAGCAGATGATGGAGCAGATGGAGGCTTAAGCGTTTATATAATTCCTTGCTAGGACTTCTGTCAGTTGTTCCAGCTCTGGAGAGAAGCAGCAGCACCACATGCAGCCCTGACTTGTGCCCCTCTTCCTGCCTGAATGAACAGCTGCTACCAGGATGATCAGTGTGTGGAAGAAGGGACAGAAAGGAGCAAAAGTCAGCCAGGGTTAAATGTTTTTATTTGGTAAGAGCATTCCTTTGCTGTCTTGCTAGTCCCTTGCACCTAAGAGAAAACTAATTCATTAGGGTTTTCTGGTTTAGTGTTAAGGCAGCTTTTTATTGTACTGCTTGACTAGCCTACTTGAAACACTTTTAGCATCCAAGGTTGTATACTGAACTGTATATTGAGTTTATGTAGATTGTGTTTTTTAAATTGAGAACTGTAATCTGTAAACTGAGAAATGGTCCTTGCAGGTAATGGGTCAGTGGTTTTCTTTGCTGTTTTGTATCCTTTGACTGCCTTTATCTTTCAGAGACATCCTTTTGAGCTCTTGCACTTGTATATGCTGTTAGAACAGGTTTCTATGTACTTCTAGTTTTTACCTGAAGGTCTAAGATCGGATATTTCTGAAAATCAGAACCCTTAGTAAAGCAAAGCATTTGCTGTTAGTATAATGGAAATCTTAAATCCATAATCTATAATGGAAATCTTTATAATGGAAATGTTAGCTGGGCCTGCTAGGTCTGTGTTTTGTTGTGCCTTTTTTTTTTTTCTTTTTTTTTTTCCTTTTTTGAACTGACCACGGGTGAGTTACAGCTGTGGGTCTCCAGAGACCAGCCTGTGCCCCATCACTTATTGCCCCCTACCTGCACTCTGTGCTGCATTTTATCAGGCCTGTTTTTTTGGTGTGCTAACACATCATAAATAAGCGTAAGTATTCTGTGTAGAGTATCTGCTATCTATATGCACCTATTCTTGTGCCACATGCAGATAAACAGAAATAAAATATCAGCTGTAGACACTGATCAATTAGAGAAATAGCTGTCACACATCAACCTGGCAAAACAAAGGAAAGGCTTGGCAAGGATTTTTTTTTTTTTTTTTTTTATTCCTGCTTCAAAATCCTTAATTGCCACTGATGCCTTGGGCTGAAAGCAGGTTTTGCTCAGGGAATGTTTGAATTACTGCAATATCTGTTTTCTATAAACTTTGTAACTTAAAACAGTTTTATTTTGTTGGGTTTTTTTCCAAGATAAAATTCTTTCCTTTGCGTCTTCCCTTAGTAAAGGAGTTTGTGTTTTGTGCTGTTTGCTCCAAATCTAGAATTCTGCATTACTGATTTTCAGTAACCTGTTAGTAGTAGTGATTATTTGGGTCTACATCCAACAAAACTGAGTCTGAAATTGTACTACTACATTTGCTACAGTTTGTCGTCTTTGAAAACTCATGTGGGATTTTTTTTTTTTTTACGGGGAAAAAAAAAAGTTATGCATCACTAAAAACACTTTCTAACCTTGGAGCTAGGTTCTAACAAAACTGTTGTGCATAATAAAATACACCAGGAGAGGGCAGTATTGCCTCGCGAAAAAATGCGAAGATTATATGCTGACACTGCTAGCGGTGATAAAGTTTTTGAAGAAGTCTTGCATCCACGTTGAGGGTAACATAGTGAGATATTTCCCTGCTCAGTCACTCGGTGCATACATACTCCCCTGAGAGAACAGGACATTGAGCATGTACAAAAAGGCAAGGCTCTGTAGAAAACTGTCGTGACCGGTATAACGGCTCTGTGCGTCCGGCTCGTGCAGACCTGTGTAACTATCTGCAGGGGCAGGTCGCTGCTCGTGCCCTGCTGTGGAGGGCTGCGTGTGCAGCAAGAGTGTTTCCCTGCCAGGGGTGGCTGTGAGCTGGCAGCCGCGTCGCTCTTGTACAGCAAAAGTGCATTGAATGTTCTGGTGTGCACAATGCGAAAACCTGGCCACAATGTGGTGATGTTCCCCAGAGAAAGGGACACCCCGAGGGGAAATACCCTGGAGCAACGTCTGCCTCTCTGCTGCCAAGGGCTCCAACAGAAGTCT